TGGCACCTGGGCCGCCCTCGTCGCTTCCCGTTCCCACCACCGTCCTCTGTGCTCTGGTCCATCTGTTTGTTTATTGCCTTTGCTTCCCCACTAGGCTCAGATGGGCAGAGGTCTCTGTTGTGTTCACTACTATCTCTAATGGCTAGAAATGTCACCCAGTAGACCATGCCTCTGTATTTGCTGAATGAATAGTTTCACCGCAGAAAACTTCACTGTAGAGAACCTGTTTCTACATAAAAACACAAAGAAGTAGAAAATTCCTAGAAGGTAGGCATGGTGGCACATGCCTGTAATCCCAACGCCCAAGAGGGAGAGACAGGAAGATAGGAGTTCAAGATCATCCTCAGTTACATAGTGAGTCCAAGCTGGCCTATAAGGCGCTCTAAAAACGACAAAGCAAGGCTAACTGCTGGGGTGCCTGCCTTCCACCCCTCCACCCCTGGAAGCAGAGGCGGGCAGAGGGCTGAGTTAGAGGATAATCGGGTCTAATAAAGGGTCCCGGTCAGCCAGGGAGTCCCTGTCTCAAACAGACAAAAACCAAATAAAAGGGGCCAGAGAGATGGCTCAGTGGTTAAGGACACTGGCTGTTCTTCCAGAGGTCCTGAGTTCAATTCCCAGCACCCACATGGCAACTCACAACTGTCTGTAACTCCAGTTCCAGGAGTTCTGACACCCTCACACAGACATATATTTAGGCAAAATATGAATCCAAATAAACAAACAAAATGACCAATAAGATGCCTGGACTCCACCACTCTTCCAGACGAGCTCGCAGTTTCTGGAAACCATTCAAGAGGAAGCCAAATGGCCTTTAGGGGAGGGATTACGGAAAGATGTGTCGAACTGAGGTAAGATTAAGAATTCCCTGTTCAGCAGCCTGGCTGTGGTGGTGCATGTCTTTAATCCCAGCACTGGAAAGGCAAGAGGCAGGAAGAGGCAGGAGGAAGCAGGAGGCAGGCAGATCTCTGTGAGTTTGAGGCCAGCCTGTTCTATAAAGTGAGTTCCAGGATAGCCAGGGCTACGCAAAGAAACCCTGTCTCTAAAAAAAAAAAATCTATCTATATCTATCTGTTTAATTGTATATTCCCTGCTCTAGAAGTTTGCAGAACATCTGTCTACTTCCCTAGTTAGTCTCTGGAATTTTGAGACCATAGATGACTCTTCTAACATGAGGCTTTTCCCTTGGTCCTCTGCCCTGGGTGGGGAGCCCTACGACCCAGAAGGCTTGGGAAACGGGGTGGAGTGGAACCACCCATCAGAGCCAAACAAGACTGCCTCACGAGGAAACAGCAGAGGCCTGCTCGGGGCTTAGCACACAGACGTGGGTGGAGTGCAGCCAGCTTTCGGGTGCACCAACCCGAGTTTATTTGGGGAATGCAGTCCCAATAGACACGGGAACCCCAAATGGGTCCCCTCCACCTACTACACATCCCGAAACTCCACCATGAGAGCCATTTAGGTTTCTGAAATTTCTGAGACAGGGTTTTGCTGTGTAACTTTTTAAAGTCCAGGCTGGTGTCCAACTAAAGGTAGTCTTTCTGCCGAAGTTTCTCACGTGCTAGGATTACAGGTGAGGCACTAGAGCTAGCAAGTGCTATGCTTTTAGCGTGCGTGTATGCGTGTGTGTCTGTGTGTGTGTGTGTGTGCGTGTGCATTATATGCGCATGCATGACTGTGCACACCGAGGTGTGGGTGGAGGCTGGAGGTTAACCTGAGGTACCATTGCTTGTTCTATTTATTTATTTATTTATTTATTTATTTATTTATTTATTTGTGGTTTTTCTAGACAAGGTTTCTCTGTATTGTTTTGGAGGCTGTCCTGGAACTCGCTCTGTAGACCAGGCTGGTCTTGAACTCACAGAGATCCGCCTACCTCTGCCTCCCGAGTGCTGGGATTAAAGGCGTGCACCACCAATTCCCGGCTCATTGCTCTCTCACTAGACCTGAGGCTCCTGCTTAGGCAGAAGGACTTGGCACCCCAGGACTCTGTCCTCTGGCTCCTGAGTTCTGTGGTTACAGGTGGTCACATCGCCTTTATTTCCTGGTGCTGGGGTTGAACTCAGATCCTGCAAATGCTTTAAGGACTGAGCCATCTCCCCAGTCCTAGTCTCCTGCTTTTAAAAACGGGGTTGATAGTGGCTTGGGAATAGACTGCTTGCTGGCAGAAGAAAGGCTCCAGGTCAAGGCCCTAGCACCTTCAAACAAATGAGAAAACCCAAACCAGAATCTGCTGCAGGGAGGGCCGCGTAAACCAGGTCTGAATTTGCATGTCATCCCTGACAGTGGGTGTAGGCTGAGGTGAGGGGAAACGGGGACACTGCTGGGAAAGGTGGTGACCTCAGAGTGGTGTTCTCCGTGACAGGAGTCCTCAGGATTGTGGCCTCCAGACAATGGCTGCTGCCTCGTGGATAACCCCCAGTGTGGGCCCTAGCCCTTATCTGGGGCAGGAAGTGGCTATGGGAAGCCTGAACCAATGAGAAACTCCCTCAGCGCAGTGTTTCCTCAGGACTCATCTTCACAGAAATAGGTTACTGGGGCATCTCACCTATGAGGACATTAGGGGAACTTCTTGAGGGTTCACTGAAACAGGCCACACGAGCATCCTAGCTAAGCAAATTCGGAGGCCACAGTCATCAATTCGTCGTCTTAGCCTGCGGCAGGCAGGCCTTGTCAATCCATCAAGAGGGATGGAACCCTTTGTCCAAAGTGTTCCAGTCACTGCTGCTCTATCCGGGGTTACCCACGAGTCCTGGGTCTGGGGACGCATGACTAGAATCCCAGAGCTTGGAAGGCTGCAGGAAAAGGATTGCTGTGAATCCAAGGTCAGCTTGGGTTACATAGGGAATTCCAGGCCAGTCTGGGATACACGTATGTTCCAGGCTAGCCTGCAGTACACAGCAAGACCCTGTTAGTTTTGTAGGCTGGGAGCTGTGACCCAGGTCTGAGGTTTTGTGTCAGGACAGTAGGGCCAAAAAAAAATAGAAAAGTGCCCACGTGTGACATGCCGGGCAGAAGATGACATGCCAGCCCTACATGTCAACAAGCAGAGTGTGAAGAAGCCCCGGGGTGCTGAGTGACCTTATAAAATTTGGACTTTCTGAGTTCCATGAGTCAGCTGGGCAGCACTGGACAGATGTTAGGAAGCCCAGGGCCCAGACGGGTAGCTGACTCCTCATGTCCATTTGAACCTTCGGCCTCAGGGCCTGTCCTAGGCTGATCCCATAGTACCAAGAATGGTGTCTTTGCTGGGTCTATGACATGGGTGACACATATGTGTCCTGTCTCTTGGATTAACCATCCAAGGTACAGATGGCAGAGCTAACACAGCCGAACAAGTCTGCCTCAGGGTGGTCCCTGCTCTGGACAGGTCATCTCTACTTCATATTCCTGATCCATTGCTGAGGAATCTGACCCAGAAATAGCTTTGTGAAGCCTCGGTTTCTTCATCCATTAAGTGGGGATGATACCTTCTCCTGAAGCAATGCCACAAGAATGGGCTGGACTACTTCTATAAAACACTTGGCATGATGCCCGACACACACCAGGTGTTCACACAGGACAACTGGCAAGGTGACCTGACTGGGAGACTTTTCCAGCTGTAAGAGACCAGTCTGTGAACCCATACCTTCCTGTGGGAACTGCTACCTCATGCCTATTGAGTAGACACCAGAACCAGAATACATTGGCCAAACTTGCCAGGGGGGGTGGGGGGGTGGTGAGAAAATTCTTCTCTATGTGGGAAATGGCAGAGGGTGTTGTTCTCAAGTATTCCTTAGCCAGGCCTCAAGTGCCCTGTAGCCTCCCCTGGTGTGTGTGTGTGTGTGTGTGTTTGAGTGTGTGCTCACTGGAGTGTGACTGAGGCCCCTCCCTGTCCTGTCTTCTCAGAGAAACTCTGGGACCAGGGTGAGTAGCCTCAAAATGTTCCCAGTTGGAAACAGACAGGAATGTACCTGCCCACTCTGCCCGGACCTGTACCCCAGGCCATCTGCTGGTCCTCAGTCCCACGTGCCCACTCATATCTCCAGAGAGGAATGGGAGGCTCTGGGTGGGAGGATGTTTGGTTGTTGTCTATGTTAATTTGCTTACTTTTATTTTGAGACAGGGTCTCACTAAGTTGCCCAGGCTGACTATGAGCTCGTATTTCTCCTGCCCCAGTCTCCCAAGTATCTGAGCTTAGGCCTGTATTCCCTCCCAGGCCCGGCCAGTGTCAGTGGTCTGTTGTTTGTTTCTCTCATGATTTTCTCGGTGAATGGATCCGAGATCCCTTTCTGCAGTGCTTTTTATTGCCAGCTGCTGCTTTTCATCCTACATCAGGGAGCAGTAGCCCATTACAGAGCTTGCATCCAGCATGCGTGAGGTGCTGGATCCTAGTCCTAACCCTAAAACAAACAGGAATCTGGGGCTTTGTGTTGCTTGGCGAAGGACTTGAGGCTGGATCTCATTAGTAACCATGATTTGCATTAAAAAAAAAAGTCACGCCGGGCGTTGGTGGCGCACACCTTTAATCCCAGCACTTGGGAGGCAGAGGCAGGCGGATCTCTGTAAGTTCGAGACCAGCCTGGACTACCAAGCGAGTTCCAGGACAGCCTCCAAAGCCACAGAGCTGTCTCGAAAAACCAAAAAAAAAAAAGTCAGAATAGCAGGCCACGCTGGTCTAATGTCAAGTTCTAGCAGGTCTACATAGTGAGACACACACACACACACACACACACACACACACACACAAGCATGCACGCACAAACAAACCCAAATAGCACAATAAACACTATTGGACTCCACCCCTCCAACCATGAACCCAGAGCCAGGAACATAAAGGCGAGGAAGGGCTCTAACCAGGTGACGTGAAACCAGGTGACAAGGCCTCAGGGTTGCACTGCAGCTGCGAACGCAGCAGGCTTCCTGCACCTATCTAAACTGACATCAGCCTAGGGCTGGGCGGGTCCATTGCTCAGGCTCTAGTCAGCTTCCTTGTTCCTCAGTCCTTGGAAACCTCAGTCACCGCCTGAGAGAATCCAGACCTATCTCCTCCTATCTAAGGTAGCTAGCTGACCTTGAGGAAGCTCAGGCCCGTGGCCCCAGGGGGTGGTGGTGGGACCCGGGCCAGATGGAAAGGTAAGTGACCAGCAAAGGTGACTTTTTTCCCCCACATCCGTGTCACTGCTGAATCGGAGTCCTTTGGAGGACGAGGAGGATGTGGGTTTCTGAATAGTCCCCAAGGCCCCGGGAAAGAAGGCAAGAAAAGCTGAGAGGAAAGCCCAGCAGACACGCCTGTGTCCCCACCTGTGTGGTCCCCTCCCTTTCTCAGACCTCGGTCTTCCTGCTGTGACCACAGGTGCCACCACTCCCACTCCATACTGCTCTCAAGTACCTGCGCTGAGGCAGACCTGCCCGGACAGTGCCAGCGACTGGCTGAGGCCAGCAGCTCTCCTCACCGGGGACTCCATTGCAGACTGGAAGGGCTCTTGACATTTGGGCTGGGACAGTTCTTTGGGTGTGGCTCTGCCTAGCCCTGTTCAGCAGATAATGACACCTCCTCCGGCCTAATAATTGAAAAGACTTCTTGCAGGGTGGGGCAGGGGAGAGGATGCTGATAATGCCAGCACTTGAGAGGTCGAGGCTGGAGAAGTATCAAGCTTCAGGCTGGCCAGAGCTACACAATGGCCTTCAGAAGTCAACAGCCAAAGGGTCCCTGTCCTGGTGAGGATGGGGGCAGGACTCCCATCCAGACGCTCTAGGACCCTGCCACTGCAGACCCCTGGTGAGATCCTAATACAGTCCATCCAGTGTCAGCTCGCTGAGAATGGCCACGGAAGTGTATCCTGTCTCAGGCATTATTCCCTTTTGTTGCCCCCTCATGAGGTGGAGTTGGCCCAGGCTGCTTGTTGAATGAAATACAGTGAAAGCAATACTCTTTGGGCTCCAAAGTTAAGTGTCCGCCCCTGCCCCCATGCTTGGTGTGTGAACCCTCTTCGTTGTGGTGAGGAAGCCCAGGCCACATGGCAGGGCCACACAGAGATGTCCAGCTGGTGCTCAGTGCTGGTCGTCACCAGCACTAATAGCCAGACACGTTTGTGAAGGAGCCACGGGGATTCCAGCTGCGGCCCTGATGGCTTTTCTCAAAGGACAGACCCAAGAACCTATAGGTCAGAGTTTGACTCTCTTGAACAGGAAGCCAGGAGAGTTTCTGCTGCAGGTCAGAAACCACTGAGCTTTTGGCCCAGAAGGTCCTGTGATTACAGTGGTGGTCTCAGAGGCCGTGTGCAAAGTGGAGAAGCCAGGGGTAGGGAGGTCAGTGACGCGGCTCCTGCCCTGCCCAGACCTTTGTGCAGAGAGGCTTAGGCAGGGAGGTGAGGGCAGAAGGTGAGAGCAGGGCGCTGGGAAGGGCGCCAGGGAGCCCAGCTGGGGAGGGGGAGGGGCTCAGGCCTGCAAGAGATGCCCAAGCTTCGAAGCTGGTGGGGCAGTTTAATGAGACCCTGTCTCAGAAGGAAAAGACACTGAAGGCTGGGCCGCAGTTCCGTGAGATCCCAACCTATGGAGAGGGAATACCTGGCCCAGTTACAGTGCTACCGCAGAAGCAGGGGAATGACTCCCAGGAGAGACCTGCACACATGGATACTGTGGCAAGGATGTCCTCACACCCGCACATACCCCCACATACACACATTCACACACACATACACACACACACTCATACATACTCACACCCGCACATACCCCCACATACACACATTCACACACACACACACACACTCATACATACTCACACCTGCACATACCCCCACATACTCCCACATACCCCCACATACACACTCATACATACTCACACCCACACATTTACTCCCCACATACATATACACATGCTCACAATTCACACTCATACATACTCACACCTGCACATACCCCCACATTCACACTCATACATACTCATACATACTCACACCCACACATTTACTCCCCACATACTCCACACACATTCACACCTATTTCTGTGAAGATGAGTCCTGAGGAAACACTGCGCTGAGGGAGTTTCTCATTGGTTCATACACGCATTCACACCTAAACATACTCACACCTGCACATACCCCCACATAGACACACACATACACACGCATTCACACTCATACATACTCACACTCATACATACTCACACCCACACATACCCCCACATACACACACATTCACACCTAAACATACACCCACACATTTACCTCCCACATACTCCTACACATTCACACACACGTACTCACACACGCATTTACACCTATACATACTCACACATGCACATACCCCCACATACACACACACTCATACACACATATTCACACATTCACACACGTACTTACACACACATTTACACCTTGAAGACTAATAATAATAATAAAATAAAATTCAAACACACACAAAGCATAGAAAAAGAAAAATTTAAAACCAGGGAGACAAAAGACAAAAGTTTTCCATTTCTTCCCGTTCAAATTGTCTCTAGTGCTCAAAGCTTAGGCTGTCTCACTTTTCCGGGCCAGCCTGTGGTGCCGAGAGGCCTCTGATTCAGCTCCCCCGCCCCAGCGGAGCCTGTGACTGCTTGGCGTTTGCCTGTGACTGCGTGGCATGTCTCTTGTTGGACTGTTGTTTCAGGCTGTGGGTTAAACCTGACGCCTCGTGCTTGCTAAGCCCACTCTGTGTGTGAACCACGCCTTCCTCTGCTCCTTGATGTGCCCACTTCACACTGTTTCCGTGTTCAAGTACCCTGCTGACCAGATGGTTCTTTTTAGCCTGACTTAAATCATTTTTTTGTTATTGTTGAAGAACTAAATAATTTTGAGGCTGATTCTACTGCTGTTTGAAACTACTTAGCCTAGATTGACCTAGAAGTTACCATGACCCATGTGGGCCACCACAGGTATGTACTACCATGCCAGGCCAAGAGTTAAATGTCTACGTTCCTTTAAACACAAATATTGAATTATTTTATATATGTTTATGGGTGTTTGCCTATGTGTCTATGCATGCCTGGTGTTCTGGGAGGGTACAGAGTCCCCGGAACCATCACCCCGGTGCTGGTGACCCAACCTCAACACAGTCTGCAGCTCCATCCGGGGCTGTTTTTTGTTTTTCCAGACAGGGTTTCTCTGTATAGCCCTGGCTGTCCTGGAACTCACTCTGTAGACCAGGCTGACCCCAATCTCACAGAGATCCGCCTGCCTCTGCCTCCCGAGTGCTGGGATTAAAGTTGTGTGCCACCAACGCCAGGCTCGTCCCTGTTTCTTTGTACGTGTTTTTACTTTTGTTTTTTCCAGATAAGATTTCAAATATCCCCTGGCATTGGTGGCACACGCCTTTACTCCCAGCACTCGGGAGGCAGAGGCAGGCAGATCACTGTGAGTTCGAGGCCAGCCTGGTCTACTGAGCAAGTTCCAAGACAGCCTCCAAAGCCACAGAGAAACCCTGTCTCGAAAAACTAAAAGAACCACAAACAAACAAACAGGATTTCAAGTGTCCCAGGCTGGCCTTTAACTCAGTGGCCGAGGACAGAGGACGGCTCTCCCACCTCCACCTCCCAATGCTGGGATTTCAGGTGTGCACCACACTGTTCATGCTTCACTGAGCATGAAGCCCGGGGCTTCCTGTCTGTTATACAAGGATTCTACCGGCTGATCCCAGCATTTAAACTGGCTTTTTGTTTGTTTGTTTTTTGGCTTTTAAAGACAGGGTTCCTCTGTGTAGTGCTGGCTGGCCTCAAAGTCAGGTACTTGCCTGCCATTGATTCCCTTGGGCTTAAAGGCATGCGACACCACACCTGACTGTTTTTTTAAAGACAGAGTCTTGGGTACCCCGATCTAGCCTTGAACCCCCTGCACAGACAAGGGTGACTTTGAACTCCTGCTCCTCCTGCATCCACCTCCCATGTGCTGTGATTTCTTTCTTTTCTTTTTTTCTTTTCTCTTCTGGGGAGATGCTTGGGATTGAACCCAGGACTGTGGACATGATAAACATGGGCCTTCCTACTGAGACACACCCGCTCGGCTACCCTGCTTAGCTCCACCCCCAACCCTATGCCTGAGACAATCTTCTGCCATCAGAGGGAGTTGAGGGAGGTGTTGCTCTGCTGAGGGCACAGCTGGATTTACTCTCTGAAGTCCTGTCAAGCTGCACACTTAGCGCTCATCTCTCTGTGTGTGCAGCAAGTTTCAAGTGCACTTTAAAAAGATATATACCGGGAGATGGTGAAACTAGTCTGTATTTTCTTCTCCGAGTTACAATTTTGTTATTCACATGTGAGCCCTGAACCCACCTGTGGTTGGGAAAGAGCTAATTTTACTCTTCCCATATGGGCCGCCACTTGCCCCGACACCATAATAAAAGAGTCTGTCTTCTCCCGGTAGTTACAGTTGCCTCTGTCATATGGTGAGTTCTCCTGTTGGCGCTGTTCCATGACTGTGCCCCGCCCCCATCGAATCTCCATAGCCTGACGCCAAAGCCTTTCTGTCTTACTTTCTTTAAAAAGATTAACTATCTAATGGGGCACAGTGGCACCTGCCTGTCTGCCACTTGGTGAACAGGAGGCCTGGATTACTTTCTTGAGGGAGTCTTAGAAGAAAACATAATCTCTCAGTGGGTCCTGTCAGGCACTCAAAACTCTGTTGACATTGTTTGATCATTGACTCCTAAAATCTTCATTACTGTTCTTTTACTCATATTTGTTTATTTTTAAACGTTATTTATAAGACGAGGAGTGATGGCACACACCTTTAGTTCTAGGGAATAATTAGGTCTTGGGAGGCAGAGGCAGGCAGATCTGAGTTCAAGGCCAGCTTGGTCTACAGAGTGAGCTCCAGGGCAGTCAGGGTTACACAGGGAAACCCTGTCTCAAAAAACAGAAAAACCAACAAAAAATTTTAGTTTTTAAGTAACTACTGCTGCATGTTAGGTACTGCGTGCTTGCTTAGGGCCTGGAGCCTTGAGCTAGGTCCAAGAATGGTGGATCACTTGCCAGCAGTAAGGCCTGGGTCAGTGGCTTCACCTTCCAAATAATTACATCCTCCTCCGCCTCTTTTTCTGCCAGGGCCTCCTCCAGCTACGGAGAGTCATGTGTGACAATGCACACAAAAGCATGAACTCATAAACGACAGTTCCTCTTCGTGGGTAATAACGATACAGATGACATCAGACACACCGCTTCCTTTCCCTCAGTAACTCAGTCAGTCCTTTCATATAGCCCAGGCTGGTCTTGAACTCACTCTGTAGCTAAGTGAGTTCTGTGCCCATTAGCTGGCCTATGACTTGTGATCTGTTTACCTCTGCTCCCCAAGTGGGGTTCCTGGCTTGAGTCACCACAACCTATGACCTGTTTTGCTCAGTGACTTCACCCTGTGCACAGCTTGGAGAGGAGAGGTGGGGAGGGACATTGTAACCTTGTGTCTGAGTTTTCAGTCCATACTTTTAGGTGGGAGCCTCAGGAGGGACAGCTTCCACTATCCAGAGCAGAATGGCAGTGCCTGTTCTGAAATAGCAGAGTGAGTTAGGAAGGTGTGAACAAGGAAACAGAACAGAAGAAAAATAACTAAGTCAGGTGTGGGTGGTGAACGCCTGTCAGGACAGCACTTAGGACGCTGAGGCAGGAGGATCACCATGAACTTGAAGACAGCCAAGGCTACAAAGTGAGACTAAGTGGGGGAGGGGTTGGAAGACAGGGGTAAGGGAGGGAATATGGGGAGAGACGATTAACACTACAGGTCATTTAAGGGTCAAATGGAAACCTACTATTGTAGAAACTTCCTGAAAAATATATGTGTGAAAAAGAATGGGAGTCACCAAATAACAGGGGAGACAATGCCCATCTAGATATCATTTGCCACCGAGTGAAATCTCCCATGTGGGCAATAATGAGTCATTGGCCAGAGGGGCTCCATG